TTTTTGTAATATTGAATTAAGTTTTTAATCAAATAATTGTTTTATATTTGTTATAAAATTAATTGATTTTATTTTGCTAACATTTATTCATTTACTTCATCTAAACGTGTAGTTTGCATATGAAAATAAAATATCAAAAATTAATTACTTATCGTTAGAAAAATGATTAATTAGAAATTTAACCTGTTGTTGACGAATGATATTCAGTAAAGAAAGGTACAGTACACGTGATGGCACTTTATAAATCGAACACCAATATCTTCGTTCCTTCCCAATATTATTTTAAGTAACAATTTAAACGTCTTTGTGTATGTCTATTATATCGTCTATGTTTAGTTAAAAGTCATTAACTAACATTTATGCTACTCTAAGTTATGACTCTTGAAACAAATTTTTAATGGAAAAATTCAGGTTCAGGAAAAGTATGCTTTCTAATTTCTAACAGAGTAGATAGGGAACTTTTGCTGGATCTTTTTTATGAAATTGTAATCAATGTAAACAACAAAAATCATTTTGAGCCAAAAGTGTAATTAATGACTTTTGATTGAACATTGACGGTATATAATATTGTCATAATAATTATTTATATATTTTATCTCATTTTCTTTCATCTTTCATTCATCTCCAAATATTTTAAACATTGTTAAATTTACGAATATATTATAATTTTCATAAAAATTTGAAATTTTTTTAAGTAAAAAATGGTAAATAATTTAACCGCGTGACGTGTATACTCGTCATAACACAAAATATTGCCATTTTTCCATGACGAGTGTACTCGTCAATCACAACAAACTGGTTATAATATAATTCGTCAAATAAATGACTTATTTCGGAATTACGAATTTTATCAATTTCCATCCGTTTTTTTTTTATTTCTAATTCAAAAAGTTCATTGGCACGTCTCAAATACCATCGAGTTGTTTTATGCATCGCAATAATAATAATAATAATAATAATAATAATAATAATAATAGTAGTAGTAGCAGTAGTAGTAGTAGTAATAGTAGCAATAGTATTAGTAATAATAACAGTAGAAGTAACATTATTAGCAGTAATAATAATAATAATAATAGTAGTAGCAGTAAAAGCAACGCGTTAGAAAAATAATGTCTCTGATTTGAAAAAACAAGAAAAATAAGCGGCGTGGAGGTGGAGGGTTTACAAAATTTATTTGAGATTATTTTTCTTTTATTTATTTTCGTTTTATCGATATCGATAAATCATAATATTACGACAAAGATGATGTTATCAATGATGAGTGTAATGATCAATTGAAAATATTTTTACGATGAAAGATATTATGATCGAACTTTATCTTCCTTAATTGTTGTTTTATTACTTTATTCAAAAATTACGACGAGATGATTGATGGTGTCAATAAATTTTACGAAACTAAATTATGAAAAATGTTGACAAAAAGAATGAAATTATTAATAATAAAGAAAGAAACAGAAAAGATAGATAGAAAAAAGGGAGATAGATGTGAATGGGTATTTGGGGCGGAGGGGATGGGGGAGGTTTAAGAATAGGAAAAATTTGTGTGTGTATGTCAGAGAGATAGAGAGAAAGAAAGAGACAGACAGATAGACAGACAGACAAATAGATAGACAGAAAGAAAGAATTTGAAGTACGGTTAAAAATCTGGTCCCCGCCTCCACACCGCACCCCTCAATTATTTTCCTTACCTGTTTTTAATTTCCTCTTGTCTTAATTTTAATTAACGAACGCGCAAGGATAATGAAATCGTGTTTGTATATACGTGTGTGTGTGTGTTTTTTTTTAAATGTTTCCCTCTCCTTCTTTTGTGCTTATGACGAGATTTTTTTTTTTTTCTTTTCGTGTAATTTATCATGTTAGTGTACGCGCGCGTACATGCGCACGTTTATATACGATCATCAGTTTACATACAACGAATTTCTAAATGTATCTCTTCTTTCTTTTTAATTTAATTTTTTTCTTTTTCTTTTTTTTTACGTTGAAAAAGATGAACGCACAAGAAAAAAACGATACAACAAAAGTCTACTTTTGTCAGTTTATTTTTTTAAAACACATTCGAGACCGGTAACGCTAGTTCAATTTGATTTGTTAATTATTCCTATGGGTGAATATGTTGGTGAGATAATTTTCAAAATTAATAATTTTTGTATTGTTTGTTAATTTAATTGTTTATGTTTTATATTATTATATATTATTAGATACCACGTGTTATTTAATACAAATTTGTATAAATTTTATTAAATTTTACGTTAAAGTCAATTTATTATATTCGATTTGGAAAAATATATTTTTATTTTTTTTTACTTAAACATTTCTTTCAATTTTAATATTTGCAGTAATTTTTTTTATCAAATATTTCATTCGCTTATGAAGTTTCTTTTAATAATAAATGATTATAAACGCGATAGTAAGAAGCAATATTTTTAATATCCATACACGTTTAAATAATTTTTTGAAATTATACGTAATTTTCGGTTATTTTATGCTGTTCAACAAACACCAGTGGCGAATGTGTTTTAATAAATTTAAACTAATTTAACTAATATAATCTCTCCTAAAATATATTTTTTCTTTTGTTAAACTATCTAATACGTATTTATAATTACATTCATGTAGACATAAAATACAGACACTCGTTTATATTACTTTAATGTTTTATATATATTTTTAAAATTATTATTATTATTATTATTATTATTATTATTATTTATTCTCGGCAGCAGTTTCTATATATAAAATATTATTTACTTTAATTTATATTATATTAATTATTTATTTCCCAAACCGACCTCTTCTGTTTTATTACTTTCGAGCCAAAAAAATAAATCGGAGGGAATTTTATTGTTTTCTTTTTTCTTTTCTTTTTTTTACAAAAGGAACTGTCCAGTATTTATGTTCATATTTGATATAAATACTTCAATTCTCAGCATTTTTATCGTAGAGAATTAAATACGTGGATATTCATTTTGTTTTATTCCTTATTTTCTTTTTTGCGACATTATCGTAACCTACAACGAAAGTTATATAGCACAGATAAGTGGTTCTCAAAGTATGCTCCTCGGCGCCATAAATAGCCGCCATTTTTCTCACGAAGATACTACGAAATATTACATAATTTTTATCATTTCAATTCCATTTGCGATTTCTTATTTGTGCGAGGTTGGGTTTTGATAAAATTAAATTTTTATGAAAATCAATATGGAGTAAGAAATGAGAGTTACTGTATCCAGTAATTAATTACACGATTTCAGGAAATATATAGTAATTAACGGGATCATCTATTTCACTAATTAATTTAATTAATCGAATTTGTTCTCATATTTTTATGATTTAAAATGTACTTCATTTATGTTATTCTTACCCTTGAACACAGTAATTGATTATTCCATAAAGTGTACTCGTTAAAACAGTCATATTTAATCTGCGGCTCTGCAACGCCTCAAGTATAACCTGGCACGCCTATTCATGAACTTATAATTTTTGTTAGCCACTTATTCTTCACCTTACAATTCCTTGCCCTCGGAACCGAAAGTTTTAAAACAACAATAGTTTTCCTATCCAAAAATCTTTTTTTAGGTCATCAGTATCAATGTAGGACCCATTTGATACTGAAAATGGATCTTTGGAGTCCGCAGAGGAAAAAGATTGAGTACACTTGTATTAAAATTTAACACAGAGTACTTTGGGAGAATTTAGACTCAACATGGGCACCGTGAGAATCAAACAAGTTTGAGAACCACTGGCATATATGGTTACGATCTGTCGCATATTCTCATTATTCTTAATAGAAAAATACGTCTGATTTTTGTTTATCGGGCAAGAAGGCATTAAATGGCGCAAAGATTTGAGCGCTTCGTTGCATAAAATAAATAATTTCTTTTAATGATTTCGCAAAATACGCATTTTTGTGCCTTCTTTCCTTTGTTTCTTTTCTTTCATATAAGATAAACGACTAATAACGAACTACAAACAGGTACGTGCGTTCTCTTATATTTTTTTTCTTTTCATTTTTCTTTTTTTCACCACAAATACTTCTCGCTAATTAAAATATGGCGAGATGAAGTTTTCTTTAGCTAAGGCCTCGGTCTAAAAACAGCCGTTTAGAAGCAACCTGTTAAAAACATCTAATCTAAAGCATTATCGGAAATATCTTTCATTTGAAGTGTCTTTTTCTTGTTGTTGTTTTTGATAATCATTCGATCGTTTGGCTGATCCTTATTTCTTATTCTTTTTTTTAATAAATATTTATCAAACTAAATATTTTTTTTTTCATTTCTGGTTTTCTTTCTTCTTTACCTTGACACAGAACTAAAGTGTCTTTCATCAAAACCGTGATTATAACGAGACAATAAATGAATCAAGCTCATTTTATTTTATCAGTAAATAGATATTTTTCTTGTATGGTGTTCATTGTGAATGGCAATTTGCATAAGAAATAACATATAAGTATTTAAGGTATATATTATAATTACATCGGACAAGCTTTCAAAGTAAATATGTGTAAGAAATGGATGGATAGTATATCACGATATTATACGCTTTCAATTTCGAATTGTTTTCCAAAATTCGTTCAATGTTTGGTTCAAAGAACGCATAATAGGTTTTGCAATATAAATTTTAACCCTTTTTGCATATCACATTCATCATTTTGCATTCCAAATTAACCTCTTTTGGCAGATTATATCGCGCATTTTATTTTTAGTATTTAAAAAATAAAATTTCAAATTCAAAATAAAAATTTTGAAACTAATAATCAATGATTTATTGTTATGAATTTAAATATATTTCGTTGTTTCTTTAAATCACGAATTTGTAAACTGTAAGAATTTTAAACAAGTCAAATATTGAACTTAATTGAGTAAACTTTTTACAAAGATTATAATTTAAAAAAAAAATAACTCTTTTGATTTTAATTTATTGCACAGACAAAAAAAATGAAATAATAAATTAATAATTACCTATAATATAATTCTTACCAGTACAGAAAATTCCGCAATGAATCAAAACCATATCACATGTAATAAATTAGTAATAATAATTAAATATAAGCATCTTAAAATTTTTTAATTCCCTAATAATAGATTTGCATGTAATTGTATTATCATAACAAAAAACAAAAATAAAAATAAAAAAGAAATTGATTTACAAGAGGACGAATTTGATTTGCACGAAGATTGAGTTTGGTTGGCAAACGTACGAATTTGATTAGCAAAAAGTTTTAATTAAAAGTGTAAAACCTGTAGTAACAACGATAATCGGTTGGTAGTAGCAGTGTTTTTCTATGATATAAATCATATTTTCTGTAGTATTGTATATATAATACCTACAGATTATTATAATACTTATACTCATAGAGTTGCGCGGCTCTTTGACGTTTCAGCGAAGGCGGGGACCGTCCGGCTTGCGTCCTGGGATGGCATGCACAGAACACAGCACCAAACGCCACACGGTTACACAGAGAAAGACAAAATCCACAGATAGAAGAAAAGATTGACAAACTTTGTTAGGATCACAAGAGAAAATGGTTTTGGGAAGGGTTTTAAATGGATTATAAGAAAAGTTAAGATATTAAGATAGTGAGAAAGAGAAAGAGAAAGAGAGAGAGAGAGAGAGAGAGAGAGAGAGAGAGAGAGAGAGAGAGAGAGAGAGAGAAAGAAAGAAAGACAAATGATAAGTGTTTGACATAGACAAAAATTAGGATTAAAAATTAGAAATATGAACAATGATTCGATCAACAAAATAAAGTATGTATCGTATCGTTAAAACGTCAATATTTTATTTCATTTCAAAACTGACAATATTATTCTTATTCGTGCCGTTAAATAAATGAAAATTTGTTTATGTTTAATAATGAAAATATTTTTAATTTTAAAATTGTATTACATAAAATTAAATTAGTTATTCTAAGTTTCGCGTAATTAAGTTTGGTTCTTTTGATTATTGGATGATAATATCAATAATGATAATAATGTTAATAATTAATGCTTAGATTATTTGAACGATAACACAGTTTAGAATTGATTTTAGTTTTTTAAGGAAAAAATTTGTTATCTCGTAATAGCTTATTGTCAATTCGTGATCTTTCTTTTTTTTTTTTTGAGAAGCGAATGTGTCAGAGTGTCTTTGATATAATTTTATAAGTTAATGATTATATGTTTAATATAATATACGGACTGACAAAAGAATAATTGAATGAGATAATTGAACACATTAAAAGTGTTTCAATTTGATTTACGTAAACTTTAGAAAAACGATTGTAAGTGTACGAAACATTTTTTTTGTATGTAAAATTCGTTTTTTTCTTATTGTTAAGATTGTTGAAATTTTTTGTGCTTTATCTGATTCTATGAAAATTTTTATTTAATTTTTCTTTATTTAAGAACGTTTTTTTCCGAGAAAATTCTTATTACTTATCCGAGAATGATGAGCCATTAAAAATATTTGCTATATCGATAATAAATTTGCTATAAAATAAATGAAATCATTTGACAAAGGAAAATCGCAATAATATTGTCAATTGTTTCAGAAAAAAATTTCAATGGAAATTTAAAGAATTGAATCTTTTTAAAAAATCGATATAACAAAATAATTGAAACTAACTAAAATATAAAAATGCAATAATATTGTATCTCAATGCAGATATAAAACACACATTTGATCGTAACGTATTAGAAAAAAAAAATAATTGAAAATAAAATATAATAAAAAGATTAATTTCAATGGACGAAACAATGTTTGACAATATTTTGTACGATAACCTTTGACCTGTATGAACGATGCAAGTAAATGCCATGATTTCTTTTCAAAAACAGATGAATATTTTTTGGCAAGTATATGTGTAAGAGAAAAAAAATGATAGAATTAATTTGAAAGAAACTCACTTTAGATGCACCGCCTCCTCCAACACCTCCACCGCCACCGCCACCCCCACCACCACCGCCACCTCCACCTCCACCTCCACCACCGGAAATGTTAGGTGTACGTGCTGGTGTAACATAGAGGCTCTCAGTTCGTTTAGGTTGGCCAGGACTTGGTAGGATGTCTTGACCAAGGTTGCGGTTCTTTAGAAGTGCTCCTTCAAATTGGCCGGAAGTTGATGCCGCATAAGTCGGTGTCACCGTTCCACTTCCTACCACCGAACCATTCAATGGTGTGCCGGATCGCATAACACTGGGAGCCCTCGTTGATCTTAAGGTGCAACATTTTATTCATGAAAATATGGTTGTTTAATTATTCTCAACAAAATGCTATTTTCAATTATAATCATTTTTTGTTTAAAATTCAGAAAAAAGTAATTGTTGCAAGCTTTAGTTTAAAAAAGTTTGTTAAATACTACTGGTATATTAAAGATTTTAATGACATAACAATATCTTATGGGTACTCAGTTAAAGACTTGTAAATGATATAAAACTGCGTTACCAATTGCTAAAATGTTGTCTAAATAATAAAGTAAAAATAATAAAATAATAAAATTAATTTTATTTTACTTAGAGACACATATAACGAAAAGCTAAATGTTTGACGTTTTTTACCTAATGTTAAAACGTATATTAAATTCTATTAAATTTATTAATACATTATAATTTTTAACTACATTCATATTTAAGTTTTTAAATAACGTCTGAAAAATTAATATATGCGACACTGGTTACCCTTTTGGAATTTAATATATTAAAATTATATAATAGCATAAATCGTTTTATTTGATAATTTTAAATATTCAAATTAATTTCGTATACTATTAGGGTGAACCAAAAGTTCGTGTGTTTATTGTGTTGTTTTCCTTTTTTGTTTCTGCAGTTTTTTATAAAATTTACATTGGAAATATTAATTTAAAACGCACAAACTTTTGGTTCTCCCTAATATTAAGTATTAAGTTAATAATTAAACTCAATTATATATAAATAATTAAACAAGAATTAAATTAATAATTAAATTAAAAATTAATAATTAATTTTCTATTAAATTATTATTGATTAATAATATTGATGTTTTACCTGTCGATTAAATCGGTGGATGGATTTGTCACGGTTTTATCAACAGACGGCTGTCTTGATCCTGTTAATCGGGAATGAGCTCTGGCATATCGATCTACGGAACTGTCACGACTTGGTGGCCTTTTGTAATGATCCAATCTATAATAAATGATAATATTTTATATTAAAATCATGAATACAAAAATAACACTGATATCATATGTACCAATAATTATGACAATAAACTAAATAAGAAATTGGAAAAGAAAAAGAATTAATTTCATTATTCATTTTACAATACAATGATTTTATAAAATAAAATAAAAATAAAATAAAAATTAAATAAAAATAAAATTAAATCATAAGATTGTTAATTAAATGTCATTATTACTATATAAAAATAATTTATATTATAAAATAAATAAAGCAACAAGTTGTTTTTTTAATTCTAATCGAATTAATCCATTGTTTATAATTAATGGCACATTTGACGATATGAAATTTATTTATCGTATATGACCTAATATGACAATGATCGTCTTACTTCCAAGAAAATCTTTCTCCCTTGATTGCACGGGAAATTATTCGAACATTTATTTTTGTTCCTTGACTCATGTAAGTTGAACGTAACGAATAGTGACTTTCTCGAAACCATGAGAGGATACATTTAAGAAGGAACAATTTGACAATTATAACATCGTACGTGGGCATATGTATGTCGATCTTTTCTCTGAATTTCATACACTCAAAATACTTCTTCGAATTCAAACTAAAGAAACCTAGTAACGTTCTAACCACTGTTTCCTTTATAACCTCTTTGAATATTTTTAATAATATCTTTTTTGTCTTTCTTAAACTTTGTTCTACTGAATGCCATTAAAATAGCTTTGGTGTATTTCATCTTTTGTAACAGTACACCATTATAGTGACTCATTTGGTTCACATATATTATACAATTGTATTATTAACAATTTCCGGTTGTATTTTCGCTAGACATGGATGTCGTATTGATCAGAATTATTTTTCGATTGCATCAACTAAAAAGTTATTTATTGTCTAAAAATACTAATTAACATGTTGAATGTCACTCTAATTTTACATGGTTTGCTTGCAGCTCTAATATGAATTTGTCAATATGCGTTTCACACATTATGTTTAAATATTATTTAAAATTTTAAAATGAAATTAAAGTGTGTAATATATAATGTCATGGGGTCATCTGTGACCGTCGTAGCGCTAAGAACAAACACAATGTCGGTTAGTGGTGACACTCGTGTTATATTTTTTACTGCATTGTTATTTGATGTTTAGAAACAACCGTCAAACACAAATTACAGTTCTACATTTTATGCGTAATCTGTATGAAACTTGGTTAGAAAGTTAAAAAAATTAAGACAACCATAAATAATAATTATATAAAAATTTTAATAAAAATGTAACACCTGTCGTTCAAAGTTTGACCGATATTGCCCGGTCTGTCCTGCGGACTTAAAATTCTGCTATTCCTTCGTATACTCGTTGAACTCGGTGGCCTTTGAATATCTGCAATCCCATCAGGATATTGTTGCATAGATTGTTGCGTTTGTTGCGATTGTTGTTGCTGTTGTTGTTGCTGCTGTTGTTGCTGTTGCTGTTGAGATAACATCGACTGCGCATTGTATTGATTCATCGGACTCTGTCCATACTGATTCGGCATCGTCGTCTGAAAAACAGAAATCAAATCATTTTATACTGCATCAATTCAAAGATAGTTTGAAACCAGTCAATTCGATAGTAAAAGGGGATCGTTGGGATTCTACGAAATCTGCTTACATCGAGTGTAAAGGTTTTAGAAGTACACTTTTTGGACGAAGGTAAATATATTTTCAATGACTTCCATCATCGTTTTGTATTCGGTGGAAGAATATAAAAGATGTTGTATTTTCTATGGAAAGACATCTATCATGACCAGTTATAATTTTGTATCGTTAATACATGTTAATAATGTTAAATATTAATTTAAAAAAAAGGATAGTAGAAAATCTAAAGGGAAATTTCATTTGTCCATTATAGACCAATTAGAGTCGGACATTTTGTTGTGCAGTGAGGAGCTACGATTACCTAATTAAAAAAGATCAGTGCAAAAGTTTTAAATAACATTATTTCAAAATGCACGAGACGAAGAGGTCGGGACCACAAAAATATACGAAATTGACGAGGATTTTACGAGGTCGGAAGACTGACGCGCAGTAATGCGTTAAAAAAATATTTTCAGATAAATTCAAATAATTTTTTTCATCCTTTTCTCTTTTCTTTTTTTTTTGTCTGTTTTTTTTTTTTTACAAAATTACGAATGCATCTCGAAAGCGACAATTAATAGAGATGCACAAGACGATGGATATGATAACCTAAAAAAGGTTCAATCGGGGACTCGTCAAGTCGCTTACACCATAAGGCTGCGCTTCGTATTGATTGATTTGGGCGTATGTCATTGGACCGTACATAACCGGGGGTTGCGGATACAAGATCTAGAAAGAAACAGAGAAACATAGAGCTTTGATGTGGATGTTTCAGAATCAAGAATAAACTTTCAAGGCTATATCGTCTTTAAATCGTAATACATATTATTTCCGGAATGAATACGTAACCTAAAATGATTCCTAACCTTAAAGTTAGTTGTATATTAAGAAAAAGCAAATACGTCGATTAAAATTACCTGTTGATTTAAATAAGGTTGCATATTTTGGAATCCTTGTGATTTAGCCGGCGTCTGTTGCTGCTGATATCCAGTATACCCAGGATCCAGCTGGGCTGGGTTAGCAGTAGGAGGATACTGCGCCGGGTTATATGTGTTAGGCTGATTGGGATATTGATTTGGTTGATAAGGATTTTGGGGGTACTGATTTGGTATGCTATTAGGATATGGCTGATTTTGTTGAGGCGAATTCGGTGGCATTGTTGGAACGTATTGCGTCTGATAAGGATTTTGCATTGGAAGAGTACTTTGAGCGTTGACCATTTGCGGAATTTGATTGGAAAGTTGATTCGGTGATATCTGATTGGGTATTTGATTCTGCATCATGTTTTGCGGCTTCATGCTCGCCCTTCTTATCGACTGCATCACGTTGCTCGCTGTCATCGAGGTGGATGGCATCGTCGTCGTTGTTGCTGTCGTCGTCGTCGTGGTCGTTGTCGTCGCCGTCGTTGCGGTCAAATCGACGTTAGAAATAGCTGACTTCGTAGGCGTCGATCCAATCGTTTGGTCAAACGTCGTGCTCTTATGAAGGATACTTTTACCAGGTACAGTGTCCTGGGGCGGTGGTACATATTTAGGAATTTCTCGATTTTTCAATCTCTCCAAACCGGGTTGTCTGAAATCCGGAGCAAACTGTTTTGCTGTTTGTTGGGCTAACTCGGAATCGTCTCTAGCATGATCGGCAGCGTTGTCCGCGGACTCTGCTTTCCCTCGGGCCGTTGCTGTCCTTGAAATAGCGATATCCGCTTTTTGTAATGCTATCTTACTCGCCCTCTGAGCTGCACTAACAGCAGCTTCTATCCTTTCACGAAATTTGGCCGATCTTATCAGAAATAAATGTTTCTTCTTTTGACTTGTAATCAACACGTTGTTCTTGTACTTCCCTTCCTCCTTGGTTCCATCCCTAAAGGTTGTCACACCGTAACCATATTTTCGATTGTTGAACCACTCCCCCTCATAACGCAAACCATCGCTTCTTTCCGATATACCGAAACCAGTTCTCTTGTCGTTTTTCCATTCGCCAAGATACGTCTCGGTTACAGATGCGTCCATCTGTTCATCCTGCCAATTGAATTTTCTTATTAGACCACGTCATCGTCTCAAATCGTTCGATGCTTCGAATTTAACGTTACGTTTTTCAAATAATTTCATCGGTTGATTTCTTGCGAAATCAGCTAGCAAAGCATCTTGCAATCCCTGTTTTAATGTAAGCCAATTGTACGGTACTATACTATTGGTAATAAGTTATGTAGCTTATTTACTTATATACCTATATATATATATATTTATGTTCGACAAAATACGATCAAAGTAAGAGAATGACTCACCTCGATGACAAAAGACGCATTACTGTCGGTATGGACGGACGCCGAAGCTTGGCTCTGTGAACTCTCCGTTGACATCCATGATGCTGAACTAGCATTACTTCGAATACTTCCTCCTGTTCCACGCTTTTCCAAATCACCCGTGCTCTTTTGTTTTCGAATCTTTAAACCCTAAACACAAAAGATTTTGTTAGAAATCTTTTAAATTATAAGTGAGTTGCTGAAAAGAAAAGAAGTGCAAGTAATATTTTTTTTCAACGGTATAACCAAGTAAAATAAGTATCCCTAGCGAGTTGTTGAATAACACTCACAATCAACCTATAATATTCTTACTAAAAGAACAATTTTTGCTGAAAATTTTAACTCTCTAATCCAATTAATTTCTGAACAATAAAAAAAGAAAATGTGATTTCCAGTTTTTTATTTGTTTTCAATTTGGGTATTTATGATGAATTCTTGTTCATTTTTTCCAGATAAAAACATAACGACAAAACACATAAATCAAATAGTTTTTTTAAATAGATATTTCAAAACTAAATTTGAATTTTCGCAAAGAAAAGAAAATTGAAAATGGTTATTTTAACGTGTACCTTTCGAGGTACAATTATGAATTTTTTACAAAATAATTTACTGCAACATCCTGAAAAAAATCCTTTATTTGAACTATAAAAAACATGTAAGAAACAAATTATAATAGTAGAAAAAACCGGTTTTTATTTTTTTTTTACTATATTGCAGGAAATCAATAAAATTGAAAAAAGAGTAAGCCTAAAAAAAGTGCCTAGAAAGCCAGTATTTTGCAACAATTTTATAATTTTACCTCGAAAGGGACACATTGAAATGGCCATTTTCAATTTTCTTTTCTTTGTGAAAATTCAAATTTAGTTCTGAAATATCTATTTAAAAAGCTATTTGACTTTTGTATTTTATCGTTATGTTTTTATCTGAAAAAAATCAACAAGAGTCCATCATAAATATCTCATTTAAAAACAAATTAAAAATTGGAAATCACATTCTTTTTTTCAATAGCTCAAATAACAATTGGATTAGAGAGTTAAAATTTTCAACAAAATTTGTTTTTTTAATATGAATACTATAGACTGAATGTTATTCAACAACTCGCTGCGAATACTTTCAGTAATTTTACTTAACTATGCCATTGGACATCAAATTAAATTAGATATTGTAAAATTTGTGATTGCACAAATCTGTGCACTTATCTGAAATTAAAAAAACAAATATTACTCGTACCCCTTTTATTTATAAGATATAATTCGGAAATATATTTTTATACGAGTAAAAAGAATTTTAAATAATAATAAAATGTGCAATAGAATTTACCGAAAGAATTCCTTTTTTCAAGGACTTTTCAGTCAAACTCTTTCTTCGAGCTGGAGGATCATCACTCCTGGCTTTCAATACAAATCCTCCTCTACTATCATCCACTCGACGATCTCTCCTATCGGTTGGATCAGGTGTTGGTGCAATTGCTGGACCACCATCCGCACTTCTCAGAGACGTCAAGGATGCTCTTACTTGTTTTGGTGGTTTGTAGTGACTCGCCAAACCAAATGGTGCACTTGCTCTTACTCCATATCCGTGTCTCATACCTCGAAGCCATTGTCCTTGATAGGTACCTATTGGTCAAATAGATATCATTACAAATTCGTCTCATATATATTATATATATATTGTATAAAATTAATTATAGGAATATTTTTACTAATCCTAGAATTAGAATTATTTGTTACATTAAGAATTATTTGTTCGCTGTTGTTTCTCTTTTACGTGGAGGAAAATGGAATCTATCAATGCGAAAAAAATATTACAGAAATTTTATGAATTATAATAATATTAAAATTGTTTATACAAAAATATAAATTATAACTATCTTATGTCAATATATTTTATTCTTATATATCAATATATAGATTAGAAATATTCTATTTGTGTTAATAGAAGCAGAGCCAGAGGTGTATCCCACCAGAAGCAGAAAAAGGTAAACATCTTATTTTAGTTTTTAATTATCTATCTTCAATGTAATAGAATTCTAATAGATTTTATTCCCTAATTATCCTCTTCCCCTTTAGTTTTCACATCCAAATCTCATAACTCGCCAAGTCACCTACAATTCTTTAGGTCATTCCCTGGTAAATGGTTAACTGCTTGACCAAAAACAGATCACAACTTTTATTACTCTACAGAACGTAACAATATGTCTATAAGTTATAATATTGTAAATCAATTATGATCAACATTTTTATTTGTTAATTTTAATATTAGTCATCTTTAATTGTTCGTGATTTTTTCTTTTGAATGTTTAAACAAGAGACTATTGTAAATAATTTAATTTTCTTCCCGCTTAAATTAATGTTATCCGAATTGTAAATTAGAAGTAATTTAAAGATGTTTTAACAACGAATTTAATGGAACATGAAAAAGAATATTAATCTATCGTATTAATTGAATCAATTTCTTTAGTAGTTTAAATCAATGTAAATCGACTGTACAATCTTATTTAACAATATGCACAATTATTTGTATATATTGTTGACCTAGTTCGCGTTCTTGGCGACACGACGAACTGACGTTTTCTCTTGGAATACTTGATCAAAGTACGATCTCAAATATCCGGCATTAATTCGGAACTGCATTTACATATTCGATACATTTATTCTACATTTTTTGTTTTGTTTTGTTTGAAAAGAAAGACGACTTTCATGAATCTTAATTTTGTTTCAAAGGTTCTTGTAAAAAAATGACAAATAGATTGACGGATTTCCCTTGTTTTTTTTTTTTTTACGTTTATTTAATAATACGAAAGAAAAAGAAATAAATTTGTAAGATGGCCGATTGTAAAAAAAAAAGAAAAATAATGAGAAATACAATAGAAAAGGAATTATCATTGAATAAGAAATTCTAAAAATTTTCTATTATTCAGTAATAAGGCGTATTGTTTTTGCCAACACGTGACTGAGTTTCAACATATCTTCTATGACTCACTACGTTGTATACGACATACATACGAGCGTAACGTTATGCATGCTCTTCAGGGATGGAATGCAGCCACAACGCGTGGGTTCTACACTGCTAATACAAATAATTTTCTTAGGTCAACACAAAATTCTAATAGAAAATGAAGAAACGATTAAACATTTTTAACAAAAATTTTTCATTATGTTTTCTTTTCATTGTAAATGAAATGGAATGAACTTAAATAGCGTTCATTATTTTAGATATAAAATAACGATTCTAATGAAATCTAATCTTCGAAATTAAAGTTGATATCATTTTGTTTAAATTAAAAAAAATGATTTTTCTCTCATTGTCAGAAAAATAACTTTTGATCTAGTTAGAAAGATTAAACGTTAAAAACTGGAAAGCAATATGTATATCAGTAAATACAAATAATTAATCTTTGATCATTTTCAATAACTATAAAGTTTATTGTTTTTCAAATCAAATAATTATTTATAACGAAAAGCTTCTCATAATTGTGGTAGCATGAATAATTAAAGTCAAAAATTGTTTATTCCTATTATAGGAAATTGCTTGATGCTCCTGTCGTTAATTATTACAGTGGAATAAGTAAAAAATTATAAAAAAATTTATAATGTAATTCATTTTATATTAAAAATAATTTGTATATATTACAATTCATTTAATACATTTATGATGAATTTTAAATAAAATATTGTAGTATAAATGATAATAATATAATCAATTATAATGTAATTACAATTTATGTCATAATTTAATAACATATTCTATAGTATTGTATTATTCATTTTCATATATTATGATTTAATGAATGCACTTATGATGCATTTAAAAAAAAATACAAATAATAATAATATATTAATTATGATTTATTTCATAATATAATAATATATAATATAATAGAAATATAATAGTAAAATAAAATAAATCACAATATCAATATTTTCCATTTGTTCGATTTACGTTAGTCCCATTGTTCTAATTATCAGCAAACATGTAAGATACATATATAGAAAAAATCGTTAAATATCACAACAATTCCTATTCCCTAGCATGCTGCTTATTGTCTCATTCGTGCAACAATAAAATCGCGTGTTCATACTTTTTCGTGCTTCTATGGATGAAGCTTTCGTTTCTAGTCGAATTCTTTTCTCTATTCGCATAGCTTACAAACAAAAGATATTTTGCCACGCTTTTTAACGAAGTACTTCTCCTTCACAATGCTCCATTACGGTTTTTGATGTGCAACGACGACGATGCATCAAGAGTCAGCTTCTTTTTCATAACCCCCCTCACACCCTCACACACCCTGTCACTCTTCTTCATGCTCCGCCACCTACTCCAACTATTATTTTTTTTTCTTTTTCTTCTTCTTCTTTTTCTTTTTCTTTTTCTTCTCTTTCCGTCGTGTTTTCACCATACGTATATATGTACATATTTACCCGTGTGTATGTCTGTTTTCGAATTCCCTCCACCCTTTTACGCGCACGGGAGACGACAGAATATTATTTCACCAGCGTTTAAGCAAGTGGGTCACCAACGTGGTTCACGAACCGTCAAATGTATACAATATGTGTATGTATGCGTATCCTCGAAATTGCTACCAACAGTTTCGTGGTTTTCAATTTTGATACATACAATTGTTAATTTATTTCTTCTTATTATTTTATTTTTTACATTGGTACTATATGGATCTTGCCATGTTTCAAGAATTATTTTTATTTTTTAATTAAAGTTATAAATATAATAAAATACAATATTAGATAATATTCTAAAAACATTAAAGAGTATTAATACATTTTTTCAGATTTTTAAAAGAAAAATAACATTGAAAAAGACCACCCTGGTAACGTTGGTAAAATTCATCATGACGCAACCCTGACGCAACCCTGACGGAGGGTTAAAATTAATAATTAAGAGGTATGTTGTACGAAATTAGTTTTATGCATGTAGAAAATTAGTACACGTATTTGTCAAAATAAAAATAAATATATTTGTGCGTATTCTTAAAATAGCTACCAACAGTTTCGTGGCTTTCAATTTTTATATACGTAAGCTAGTTTCTTTATTTCTTTCCATTAGTTTATTTCCTTATTCAAATTAATAACTAAGTGCTAAATCCGAACGTACAACATTAGTGCATATGTTTGTTTTAAAAGAGGAGTATTTAAGTACGTATGATTATTTTATTTTTAGCTGAATAACTTTGAGTTATATGAAGAAGAAATGAATTTTTAAGTAAATTCTCTTTCCATTTTCCGTATATTACGAAAAAACACTTTGAAATACATAATGATGATTAAAAAGAAAGGAAAACTAAAAAATTAAACTAAGAACGTAAAGAATTAGTATTAAGTTCATTTCGAGATCAAAACAAAATACAGACAATTTACCTAGAGATCAATAATTTTGAGTAATGTGAAGTAAACACAAAATTTCTAAATATCATAATTACCAACTTTCTTGTTCTATGTAAAAATGCTTTGAAGAGTTTGTTTTGAGATAAAACAAATTCCTCTTAAACGGATACGTTGAGTTCGATAATTTTGAGTTGTGTGAAAAACAAACAAATTTTTAAGAAATTATTAACTTTCGTGTTCTATGTAAAAATGTTTTAAGGCAATGGTTCCCAAACTTTTTTGGTTCTCGGCGACCTTACTAAATCCAAATTTTTCCAAAGTACCTTATGTAAAATTTTGTCAATAACACAACAAAAATCTAATAGTTATTTGCAAAAAGGTTAGATAAAAATAAATATTTTGAATTAAAAAAAAATTTAACTGAACAAATTCAATAGTAATTATAATAATAATAATTAGGATGAGTGAGCTTTTTGGTCAGCTGCACATTTTCTCAAATCGTGGAATTATATTAAACACATAGAGCCACTTTTATTTAAATAATAAAAATATAAACAATTACTTTGAGATAAAAACGATTACCGAAAGAAAACTGAAAAAGTCAACAAAGAACCTACGAAATTATTGTCAAATTTGTTTCAAAATAAACAAAATAATCATCTCAATAAAAAGAGAATTATTTTTCACGTTGAGTTCAATAAATTTGATTTATCTATATTAAGAATAAACGAATTTTGAATGAACAACTTTTGTACTTTCACGTAATATAAAAAAATGCCTCGAGGTAATAAAGCTTAATGAGAGGAGACAGAAAAATCAAATAATAAAAGGTACAGAATAAATGTCTAGTTTGTTTCGAGATGTTAAAAGTCATTTTAATATAGAGACGATTCATATCGAGATAAATAATTTTGATTCATGGGAAAAATAAACGAACTTTTTAAGTAATTAGAAGCTTTCGTGTAGCAAGTAAAAAAATGCTTTTGAAGTAATAACGATTTAAAAGAAAATGAAGTCGAAAATCAAACGAATTTTCATCGTTTTTTTTTTCCTCGAGGATCGTTTCCTTTGATTAAATTGGACGTTACAAGGGTATCTGTAGAAGTGAAATAATACGAGGTTGCAAAGCGAGCTTAAAAGCTGCGCGTAGCAACGATGCATTATACACGTTCGCACATGCTATCCGCGAATACGTATGTTAGCTATTCAGGTCAACTCTTGCTCGTCTCTTGGAAACGCCTCTGTACAAAAAGTTACTCGTCGTCTATATTT